AAATATAGTTTTTTTTTATTTGTTTTCTATTTTTAGTTTGAACGTAGGATTTATTTTGGCAGTTAATTTTATTATAACTAATTATAAACACAATATATAACTTTTCCATTATTTTTTATTATAATAATAATAATAATAATATATTATTAGAAAAGTGTCGGTTGCAGGTTAACCATCAAATGTTTGTTTTCATCTTAATTTTTCACGGTAAATTATTAAATATTTTATTATTTAGGAATCTTACAAATTTTTATTAACTATTCATATGTTGATGGATTTATAAACTAATATTTATTTAAAACTTAATGTTTATTGCAATTTTCATAACACCGTTAACCACTGCTGATAGCGTCTGTACACTTATGTTGACAAAACAAAGCAGCACGAAAAAATGAAAGAGCGCGCGTCGCGACTGACGCGCATACGTTTACTATGGGACATTCGAAAATTTCATAGTCACAATTTTAAATTTAAACCGAGTACACGTGACTTAATGTCAAATTTTTTTATAAATTTTTATTGTTGACTGAGCAACAGAAATTTTACTATGGAACTATAATGAAAAGTTTTAAGCTCACTCACAGTTTTTGTTCAGTCAGTTTACGAAAATTTTTTATATATGTTTATGTAACAGTTACATGGTCAAATTTACTATGATCCCTAGTAAATATCGATTGGTACAATATGATATTCTTAAATTTTTATGTAATGGTAATATTTTGAATTGAGTCATTAAGGTTCAGTCTTATTATGTATGCATAATAAATTTCTACAGAAATTTCTCACCGTGTATCATACCTTATATTTTTACTTAAAATTATTTATTTTAATTGTTTTGATTTTTTTTTGAGTAAAAAAGTTACGTTATACGCTAAAATTAGTTATTAAATTGATTTCTTCAATACCAATAAACGATTTATTGAGTACAAATAAATCATTTGTTAAATACTTAATATTTATTTGATGGAAATAAATAGGCTTTAATAAATGATTTAGTAACTATTACTAAATATTTGGTAATGAAAGGTTTGTTACTACATCATTTAGTGACTTATTACTAAATCTTATTCCTTCTATCAGTGTGCTATGTAGAATATGTGCGGTATTAATTTAATTAAGATCGATTCAGTGGTTCCGTAGAAATCATGTACGTTAACCAGAAAAGACTTCTGAGATAAACGCGTTAAAATTTTTTTTAATTTAAAAAAAAACAAAATCTTACCTATCCTTTAAATCCCTTCAGCCTATTCAAAAAATTTTATTTTTTTCTACTCGAACATTCACATAAACATAGTAAAATAATATATCACAGTGGCCCGATCACTTAAAAATTTTAACACAATACGTTTAGATGTATGTACTTTTGAAAAATGTAAAAAAAAATTTTTTTTGAAAGTTACAAACCAGAATTATTCATTAATACAGTTCGGCAGTGATTGAAGCATTTAGAAAAAGTATACATTGATAGATAGACACAGACAAGGTGTTGGTACAAGTGGGTTATTTTTATTGAGGCCCTTGAAAATAATTGAATTCGGCACGCGGCCCTTTAAGTGGAAGTGTGGCTTCTCATCACACGACGATAGTAAACTTTGCAGTGTAATAGAGCACATCAGTGTGCACATGCTGTGTGAAAGGCTCTTCGAACCGGGTATACAAAAACAAGGTAGTTCTCTCCTGGTCCTATACACATGAAGCTCGAGGGTACATGCGCTTTCAAGTTTGTTCTCTAGTAACCACCTGTTTCTTGATCGGGTGCACTATCGTCATAGAAAAATAAACTTTATTATGGACGCAGTGCACATGGATAGCATAAAGGATTCAATATTGAGTCTCGTTTAGTATTTTTTTACTATTGATTTGAAATTTATGTTTGCTTTTCGCTTGTGTGACTGAATAAAGAACGAGAATGATATAATTAATTGATTATAGGGTAAACACGTGTATTTATTTTACTAACTTTTTTTTTTTTTTTTTAATTGTATTTTATTTATTTGATTTGGAACTATTTTTTTTTCTAATTAAAAAATTATTTTTTAATGTTTCAGCTCTTAATTTTACTTTCAAATTTTATTTAAAAAAAATACTTCTATTTTTTTTTTTCTACTAAATTAATTATACGCAGTTCATATATTAGCCACTTAAATTTATATTATCTAATATATTCTGAATAAAGTAAGTTTTTATTAAATCGCAAGAGACTACGAATTTTCTCAAATTATTGGCTGAATTACAAACTTCCAAAACTTGAAGAGTTAATTAATGAACTCGTAATTAATTCATCAATTTGTGGTTGGATAAGACAGTCAACAAACCTACTAATCACAAATAATAGATTAAAGAGGTAATCAAATGAATCATGACCTTTCTATCGTACTAATTTAACATAATCAACCCTTTAAATTTTTAGTTTAAGCCCTAAAAAATTATTAAAACAATAAAAAAGTTTTATTTTTATATTAAACCCCCCGAAATTATGTTAAAGTTTTTTATTTAAATTAAATGGAAATTTTTTTATGTTAAAATTAATTTTTTTTTAACAACCAGTAAAAAGTATGAAAATGATCAATATATATTATTATTATTATTATTATTATTATTATTATTAAATTGACATTCAATAAAACAAGCCTTTTTTTTACTTTTTTATAAATTTACTTCTTTAGAAGTTATTTGAAAAAAGGCGCGCAGCAGCCTATCGGATCCGGCCCTTGCTACCAAAGCATTGGACCGGGTTCGAGTCCGGCGTACACCAATGAATATTTTCAATATTTAAGTGTATTATTCTGCTCAGCCCAAGAAATACAAACGAGTTCCAATCTCAAAAGTTTACCCCCTACCGTAGTCGCTCATGACCTTACTAGTTTATGCGACTTTAAACAAATTAAAAATTAATTAAAGTTATTTGAAGTCAAAATTAAATTTTTAAAAAATTTCGAGCTTTTTTTTTTTATTTTGTGACAATTATATGTAGTATCGGATTTTATTGGATAGAATACTAAATGTTTATTAAAGATGTTATTATTAAGGTATCACGGGTCGGTTAATTTAAAGTGAGTATTTATTAGAAAAATTGACAGAGTTAAAAGACAGAGGTCTGTCGTACATCGAAGTTAAGTAGGAACTGCCTGCTTGAGTCCCATACAATTAGATCTTTACTTACTACCTGGGTTTCTCACCCCCGCATCAGTCATACTTCGTTCTTACACTTTCGGTACTTATAATGTACATTTTTGCCACGAGACAAATCTATACTTACGTTCCCACGCATACGAATATTTTCTAAACTATCTTAACTAAACATCTGTTATTTGGGAATTTTTCTTAATCCTTTTATTTACAACCTTTTCGAAAAAATACTTACTGCTAAGTACAAAGGTGCAATAAAACAATAAAATAGAGAAACTTAAATCTAAAAATGACCATTCCACATATATAATTCATTTTATTTTGTATATACCTCATATTTTTGTAAATTAATCATTTTTTCCTACAAAACAAAAATAAGATCTAAATAACGAGTTTCATAACATTAATTTAATTTTTGCACTCAAACATCTAACGAAAACTACTTTCAAATATTAAATAAAAAAAATATAGATTTTTTTTTATCAAATACAAGCGTAGTGTTATCAAAGGATCATCAACCTCCTCTTCTCAGTTCGACTTTCTTTGAAAAAAATAAAAAAAAATGAATAAATCAAACCAACGGTAAAAAACTGTCAGGGTGTAAAACTTGACATCTTGCATTTCTCTATTGGAATATCGAGGCGACATTAACATACTCTAGACATAGAATATAAATATATAAATATATCGAAGATACATATATAGGAAAAATGAAAGGCAAAATTGATAAAGAAGAAATAATAAAATCTTAACCATTTTCTCCATCATTACATAAATATAAATTTACATAAAATTGTTTAAATGTTATTACAGATTAAAAGTAAATTTTTGTCGGAAGAAAAAAAAAATATATATATACGTATTGATATACAAACTTCTTGATCAACTGAAAATTTATGCGATTGATTCTACTAGGGAGAAGTGACAGTACAAGGAAGCGCTTTTAGTCCTGGTAGATCCGCTCCCTCGAGAATACATTTTCCTTGTACGCGTGCGCACAGCCACTATGTCCGAAGGATCTCGATAAATTTGCATGTAGAATACGCGTGGGAGGACAAGTGTCTTTTGAAATAGAGAAGAAGAGATAAATAAGATGCTGTACTATTATATCCAAGAAAAAAGCTTCACTGCATCTATATCCCAATTTTGTTATTATTATCATTATTGCTCTAAAAAAAAAAAGTGTTTTTCCACTAGCAATATTTCTTATGTTGAGAAAAAAAACTTGGTATTGCTCTACTAACAATACGGAGTATTTTGCTCAACACTACACATATACTGCTCAGAAATATACCTGTACTAATTATCACAATACTTCAATTTACTATATTCAGAATACTGAATGCAAAATGGAATTTTTGTAACCTCACTTTACTTACATAATTTTATTTTTTAATAAGTATTGAAATTAATAAAAATCTATACTAATAAATGGAGAGCCGGTTTTGTTGTTTGGTTATACTGCGAAAACTACTGAACCGATCGAAATAATACTTATACCATAAGATGCAGCGTGTTTTTGAGAAGGTTTTAGTATGTGATGTGTTGGTAATTACTTATCCGGAACCTATATTTTTTGGCTTAGAAATAATAAATTTTTATTGTAACTAAATTTATTCTATTCGATTGTCATTTATTTAAAATCAATTTTTTAATTCTATTGGTTATGTTTATATACTACACGGGAAGAAAATTGAAGGAGTTATTACTATTTTACTATTGTAATTTTTACTAAATAAAATAGTAACGGTGGACTATACTTCTCATTTAGTAATTTTTACGATCTACTATTGTAAATTTTATCCAACAAATAAGACTAGCAAGAGTTTTAAAAAGTCGTATACTATAGAGCAAATTATACAATATGTGTTTGTGAACTTTACAATTCAACTATTGTAAAAATTCACAGTTGGTTTTTTTAAAAGAAATCTTAGGGAGGGAGAGAGATAGAAGGTTGCACGAATTGGCACTTGTACAGTAATCGAAAAAAGAAACAAATATTTTCGTGCTATCTGGGAATCGAACCCAGAACTCTGTGTTGGTAGCCAGAGACTCTCCCTTTAGGCTATCCGCGGTAAACTAAGACTCATGTCCTTTAACATTTATATAAACTCAGAGTCTAGCGCTGTGCACGGCCATCACTCACACTAATTGAGAGACATTCCAATTCAACTATCGTATTTTTTCATTAATAAATAGTATTTTTTCTTCTAAAATATTTGATAATTAATAGTAATAAAGGTATAGTCCAGCTTTACAATAGTTGTATCGTAAATTTTCCCAGAAATTTTTTCCCGTGTAGGCAGATTTCTTCACTTATGAGACCTGCAATTTCTTTAACTGAAACTTTCAATGCTCATTACAAATTGTTCTTTTTCAAATCAATTATTATTAATTTTTGTAAGAAAGACACGGGAATGTTATAATGATTGCATATTGAAAGTTACAGTGAATATTAGCTAGAATAATTACATGGATAAAAGGTGCATGCCAATTCGATAGAATTGGGAATCTGTGCAAGTCAAAACAATACTCTAATTAAATTTCAAGTCTAGATCTAAAAATGCAATTCTATAGCGCCCAGCGGAGCGGGCGAGTAACAGCTACACTGATAAAAAAATTAACTTGACTCAAGAGCCAAAATCTTGAACCAAAAATACCATTTTGGAAGAAAATGATTTTCTTCACGCAGAAAAATTTTTTGTTAGAGCAACAAAAAATAAGTTGTGACAACAAATTGTTATGTTGATGGAGGGATAAAAAATAATATGTTGTGTTAACAAACACATAGGTTATAATAAGTAATTCATATGTTCACTCAACAAAATTATTTTGTTATTGTAACCGAATCTTTCAATTTTTTTAAAAAAATAGTTTTGTTGAAGTAACAAATCGATTTGTTAAAGCAACGGAGTAGCTTGTTCAAGCAAAAAATTTTATTGATAAGAAAACTATTTTGTTATTGCAACAAAAAAATGTATTATAATAACAAAGCGATTTTGTTAAGACAACAAAATTAACTTCAGAGCAGTAAAAACTCATTTGTTATTGCAATTTAGTTGATCGATCCGAGGGCCTTCTATAAACTTTAGTAAAATTATTAAATTATTTCAGCTTGTAGTTTTTCAAATTTTCTGACTTTTGAATCTTAAAAAGACAAAAGTAGGCTTGGAAAAAATTATTTTAACTCACGAGCTTATTTTTTTTTTTCGTAAATAATGAATTAAAGGTAATCATTGTCAACGCATTTTTATTAAATTTGATTTTTGCTTCTAAGGTGATTTATTTAAATAATTTTTTTTTTAATTCAGTTAAAATATTTTTATAATTAGATATTATCAATTCCATATTTATAACTTTTAATATTATTTCTTGCCTCAAAAAAAAATTTTTTTTTTAATTAATAAAGATATTGATTTGATAAATATGTCTTTTTGCTATTAAAGTTTTGAACTACACGGAAATTATACTCAGTGACATCTGTAGTAAAAAGCAATTTCAGATAGTAGCTAGTATAATCCAGATTATACGAGTGATATTTGGATTATAATCATTGTAATTTCCCATTTCCCACTGTAAAATCTCAGATTATACCGCGTAAGATTCCACTGGATGTAATCCGAAATTTTATCCTATACAAGTTTGATTATACTCAGTAGAATCTTGGATTATACCCAGTGATATCTACGCCATTTTCTTTCTAGCACCTGCGCGTGAAGTGTTGCTTACAATTTGTGAATTATAGTCAATCATCAGTACATTGAACATTAAAAAAATATAATCGGTGCATTAATTAGTGTGTAAACATTTATATTTTGTGCTATGTAACAATATGTTTTATAGCCATTATAATTATTTAAATTACAAGTTATGTAAAAATAGTGTACAAGACGTATGTTTTTATGTTTAGATTTGTGACAATAAGATCTAACCTGTTCATAGGCATATGATAATGCTAAGTGCGCAGGCACTAGAAAAAAAATCGCTGGGTATAATCCAAGATTCTACTGAGTATAATCCAAATTCTACAAGACAAAATCTCGGATTATATCCAGTGGAATCTTACGCGGTATAATCTAAGATTTTACTGAGGGAAATGGCATATTATAATAATTAAAATGCAGATATCACTCAGTATAATATGAATTATACTAGCTACTATCTGAAATTTTTTTTTCCATTACAGATGTCCCCGAGTATAATCTTCAATGATATCTAATTTAATCTTGTTCTTTCCGTGTTCAAAGTAAATATTAAAAATTTTTAGGATATAAAACGAAATTTTCAATAAATTTTGTAAAGATAAGATTTAATAAAGCTTAGGCAAGATTTGCAAAAAAGTACCTTTTTTAGATTTAGCTTTTAATATGTTTTTATTAAATAAAAATCTCTTCAACAGATATTAAATCATGTACTTTAGATATTGATTGTTATTTTATTTATCATTTTAGGTATTAATGCAATTGATAAATGAAATCGTGTAAAATTTATTTTCGATATTAAAAATTGCAGTAAGTACATTAAGATCAGTCAAATGTATAATCGAATAGAATAAGATTTAACATTACATAAATACAATGTCAATTATTAACATGATAATTACAGGCATAAGTTTTTAATGAAATTAGTTACATAGAAATTAGATTAATGTAATCTATTTTGATATTTAAGTTCTTTATTCCTACTTATCTTACATTAAAATTTAATCAATTATGAAAAAATAAATACTAAAAGAAAGTAAATAGATGTACAATGTACATAAATCAAAAACTATTTTCACCGTTTATTTAGTCAGTTTTTTCACGTAACTTTCACAATAATAGCATAAGCGACAGCTATATTGCAAGTAATCATCATTCTCTATCATTACAAAATTAGATTATCACCACCGTTATAATTAAAATCATCACATACGTACATCATCAATTCATTAATTAATGATCGCAAACGTTGTTTGGTCTCATTTCGAATTGAGTTTCCTCATGTAAAAATTCAGTAAGCCTAATTCTTCACAGTTCTTGTAATGAAAATGACGATAACAATATACATAGAGTACGTGGTCATGAACATACGCGAAACAATTTACTGAGCAGCTGTGGCAAGGTGGTGTTGTGTGGACCAATGTGGTGATGAAACTGAAACAGTTGTGGCTGGTTGTCTGACTACGGGGGCAAATGCACTCCCACCTCCCACGTCACCAGACGAATAGAAAATTCCATATTGTTCGTGCGCTGAAATTATTAAGATTATAGTTATATAATCATTCAAAAAATTTACAGGGAAAAAAGTAAACTGTAAAATTCACTCGGATTCCGGTTAATTTTTAGAGTTTCAAACAGTATAGCGGACATCGGGGTGGCAAAAATATAAATATTACAGAACTTGATGTCGAAAGTGTAAAAGCCACAATTTATAATTCAATATCGAAAATAAGTGATTAGTAGCTGTCATTATAGTAAATAACGACTCTCTCATCTTAAAAAATTACAGTTTCAAACAGTAAAAATTGCCATTTCAATACATAGTCCATACTATGAGGAGAAAAGAAACTCAGACGAGGAGAAGGGGGTCTCACTCTGAGAGAATTTAACATTTGAAACTGTAAAAATTCTACTTTTAAATTATACATTTTACGTCCAAGCTAGTCGATAATTATAGTTTCATTTTTAGCGTTGCGTTTAAAATTTACCATTTTACTTTGTAAATATTAACGTTGCTTGTATTAGAAATTTAGTAACTTTATTTTGTACTTTTTACATATCATGCGATCATTTTTTCGGTACGAAATGGTAAATATCAAAGTCAAAATTCTTAATTATACTTTAACATTTTCGACATTCACATAGCGAATATTACTGTTTGAAATAGTATTTTCTTCCATGTAAAGAATAAATTGTCGCGTTTAACTAATAAATATTATAAAGTGAATGATAAAATTTCGATTTTACTGTTTGAAATGGTAATTTTTATCAGTTGATCATTACTTATTATAAATCGACTATTATTTATTACAGTTTACTTTTTTCCGTGTATTAGTCAAAATGAAAAAAGTTCCTATAAGAAGGAATCATTTTGATTTGTAATTTATAAAGAGAATTTTTTTTTCACATTTTTCGAAAGTAGTTGTATCTAAAAGTATCGTGTTCAAATTTGTAAGTGATCGGGACCACTGTAACTATGTTACTTTACGATGTTTATGTGAATGTTCGGGTGGAAGAAAATAAAATTTTTGAATAGACGGAAGGGAATTAAGAGATAGGTAAAATTTTATTTTTTTAAATTAAAAAAAATTTTAACGCGTTTATTTTATAAGTATGCTTTTCTGGTTGACGTACATGATGTCTCCGGAACTACTGACCCGATCTTAATTAAATTAAAACCACATATTCTACATAGTAGCTATTGTATCAACTACAACCAAATCAAAATATTTATTTTTACTATTTTTTTAGGATCAAATACTGTAAAAAAACCTTATTTTTCAGTTTTTTTTTTATAAATCTCCACCATTTTGTTATTTATCAATATAGTTATTTTCGATACATATGCGCAAAGATAGGTATTTTGGTAAGCTTGAAGTGACGTAACGAGGCTGAGATTATGGGCACATTCTCAACAAAATCGAGTACGTTGTTATCGGTCGAGCGAAGTGAGACCAGATATTACGTACGAGGTTTTGTTGAGAATGTATCCATAACCTCAGACGAGTGTTATCACCTCAAGTTTATTACCAAAATACCTTTGTGGATTTGTATCGAACATAATTTTTTGTAATATCAACGGCGAAACACGGATTTGAGAGAATGCCAACAAAATTTATTAAAGTTAAAAGCAATATTTTTAAGTGGATATAAAAATTTTGTTTACAAGAATCGACTTCTCGCCAAGATTTTTTTTTTCGATTTATACTCTCTTAGTGGACGATTGTAGAAGTAAACGAAACTAAATATCCTATAGTAATTTTTAGCATCCGTGTGGGAATGTAGAGAAAGATTGAGAGAGAGAGAGAGAGAGAGAGAGATGTCACTTATCGATACGTGTGCGAGAAAAGTAGACTCAACTATAGCTGGCCAGATATCATTCATTTTACTCCTCCTAACTATAGCTCGAAAACCCACGTTTCGCGGTTGATATTACAAAAAATATTAATCTCCGTAGCTGGTACAATAACTACTTATATGTTAAAGGTAAATAATTTTAGTTTTAGTGTTTTAGATGAGCTGTTATCAAGTTATCACGTACGTGAGCTTTATACCAACGTTTTGGAGGAGCTCCGTTCATACGTTGTTTATTCATATAAAAAATATTAAAAAATAAATTTAGATATTTTTTGTGTTATCCAAGAATACATTTGTTGAGCTAGATAAATTTTATATTAATATCGACAATAGTTTCTGGGTAAAAAAATTATGAATATTGGCTTTTTTTCAAGCGCCGAGACCAGAATGTCCCCTTAAATTAATAAGGTCCTTTATTACAGTTAAATTTATATTAACAATAATCATTTTTACTAACTAATGCAATATACTATCAATAATTTTTATTATTTTAAAATTCGTTTAAGACTTAACTTTTTTATATTTTTTACCAGGTTTTTTTTAGCAATTTTTTCTAGCCTAAAATACTTTGATTCTTACAAAATCACAGTTTGTAAACATTAATATGTTGATATGTATGTTGAGGGCTTCAGATTACTTTACATTATGGCCTATGTCGTTAGTTGACGCAAGTTAATTTTTGTGTCCCCATTATTGACATCCACTATTTTAAAATTTATTTTAACTCGATCAAGTATAAGTAAATGAGTATATGGTTATTTAGACTATAAATAATCTAAAATAATTTTGAACAATGCAATTACATAAAAAAAAACATTGAGAAATCTGGATTTGAAAATAAGGTCTTTCTTAACGATATTGTTAAGAAATTACAAACGTATAAGCAGTTTTGGCCTACTTGAAAAATGAAATTTTTTTGCGGTAAATAGTTTATACCTTGGAATTAAATTTTACTATTTCTTAATTTTAAAATATGTAAAATTGTGATGAAATATTAACGATTGTGATTATTAACAGATTTTAATAATGAAATAATAAAATTAAATAGGGTATCAATAATGGGGGCCCTGTCAATAATAGGGGCTTTTACTTTATGGTAAAAATTCATATACTTATATGTGTTACATAATTTTTTTTCCAAAGCTGGCATAGTAAAAATGACTATGTTTGTAGAAATAATTACTACCTCAAAAAATCGCAATATAAAAAATATCCGATAAAAAATATTAAAAATTTCAATTTCTTTTCTCTGTGTACAAAATTAGGTCCCATTTTGTCCCTTACAATCTCTCACGAAGTATTTAAAAATAAAACTTACGAGAAGTGTAGAAGGTTGGACTGATAGTGTATGGATTAACCACAGCTGAATAACTTCCACTAGTTGTATGACTGTGTGGTGTACTAGGAGTACTTCCACAAAAGCTACTACCACCGGGAGCTTCACCACCTCCTCCACCGCTGTTGCTTATTATTCCTCTTGGACTTGCCCTACTACTTTGTCGATATGTGTCAATACTACCACCTACGCTGCCGCTACTGCTACTACTGCTGCTGCTACTACTACTTCCTCCTCTTTCAACACCACTAGCCCCCGTGCTTCCAGTATTTCCGTCTAAAAATAGAAACCTGCCCGGTCAGAGATGAATTCACATGAGTATCCCATGGCACTTTATCCGATAATTTTTTATAAACACTTAGAACAAAACAAAAGCAAAAAAAAAAAGGTCATCAACATACCATCGGTCCATTTTGCTGTACTGCTACTACCATTTTCTTGCTGTTGTACAGTGACTGCCAATTGACCTGTATAAGAATTAAAAGATGTATTGGCAGAGCTCGATGTCGGCGGTACAGGTACATGGTTTGACCCTGGACTTCTCGGCGCCCCACCACTGATTCCTGAATTACCTGTTGTTGTTGTTCTCGGCATGTTGTACAGAGCTTCCGCCAAATCAGCAGCTCTTTTAAGGATTATTTCTTTTGGCAATTTTTCGGGATCTCCCGGGTGTCTTGGAATTAACTTTTGCAGTCTATCGAATCCGTATGCTATGGTTGGCTCATTTAGCGCTAGATGTTCATCAACAATATTATTTTATTAAGATCATCGGGAAAACATATTCATTTACGAACTGAGAGAAGAGTTTATTTAAATCAAATGAGACTCGTTAATCATAAATAAATCTCTTATTTCAATGCCACCAACTAATACTTATTTGACACAAATAAATGAATTTATTTAAGACAAAGATATGGTTTATGCAGTGTATTTATTTTAACAAAATAGTCATTTGTTTAGAGTTAACAAATCTATATTATTAAGAGAATAAGAAAAATTTTGTCTCCAGGATAGTCATATAATAAAATCGGTTTTTTTAATGAAATTTAGTCATTGCAAAGGTCTAAACTTAAATTTGTGCCTCTTCAAGTTTCATATCAGTCTCACCGATAGTCAATTTATAATGATAAGTATTTGGGCTGCATTCAAAAATGCTCTATCTCTAGATACATAATTAAGAAATGACCTATCTTGTGAAATATTAACATTTTTAAAGATATAAGCTCATCCTGAAGTTGCACTCATCGAGACCTTTCATTTGAGTACCCACATCAATTTTTCATATATTTTATATATTTATATATTTCACAAATACCATATATATAAAATATATGAAAATTGCCATGTAGGTATTCAAATAAAAGGTCTCGATGAGTGCAATATCGAGGTTAGCTTATATCTTAAAAAATGTCAATAATTAAGAAATGACCTTGTATCTTGTGAACTATTGACATTTTTAAAGATATAAGCTCGACCCGACATTACACTCATCGAGACTTTTCATTTGAGTACCCACATCAATTTTTCATATATTTAGATATAAGCTCATCCCGATGTTACACTCATCAAGACCTTTCATTTAAGTACCCACATCAATTTTTCATATATTTATATATATTATATATATGTATATATGAAAAATATATCAAAAATGCATGTGGGTACTCAAATGAAAGCTCTTGATGAGTGTAACATCGAAATGAGCTTATATCTTTGAAAACGTCAATAATTAAGAAAGTACATTGCAATTTAACCAAAGTCATTATTTAATAAAGCAAAATATTCTTTATTTATAGTTTACAAGTCACGGCAGTCACATAGTGACTGCAAGGTTGCTAGTCTTTCTTCAATGCTTAAAAATCATGTATTTCAGTCAAATCAGATTTGTTAACTATAAGCAAATGTAATATTTTAATGTCGGTAAAGAAATCATGCTTTGTAATATAGTAAATAATATTTGAGATATTTTTAAGGTTGTGAAAGCAATGAGGATGAGTTTATTTATATAATTTTTATTAGGGAAATTTCTAATAAACTAAAATTATTAGATGAGAGTTGAATTTTTATAGTTTTTTTCCATTATTAAATTAATCTAATATTGATTTATGTGTATAAAATTACTCAATTATAACAGGCGACGATAAAAGTATTAAAATTACGATAACTCAAATAGCGACAGTAGCGACTCAAACGACTTATGATTTATTTAAAACGAGATTTGTTAACTATTAACAAATCTTATTTGAATAAAATAAATAGGCGAATTAAATCAAATATACCAAAACAAAATAGTATTTTGTTAAAAGTAATCCATATTTAAATAAAACAAATTTGTTAATATTAAATACGTATTTTTAAGTTATTTTAAATAAATCTAGGAATTTAAATTAAACAGACTATTCTCTCAGTGTACCAATTAAATCTACTTACAAACATAATTGAATCGCCCAGGCGAACCTTTACAAAATTGTTTACTTTTATACGACAACGTCACTTCGACCACACCAGGAGTTTGCCGTGGTGGCGTTTGAACTTTTATAGCATGGTCCGTTATTAGCTGTAGTACACAGAAATACAATTTATCAAAACTGATCAAGAAAATTTTGATTTATTTTTATTCACCTCACTCCAAACTAGCATAGATCCAAAGACCACTTGTAAGCCATCGAAGAAATGTTCTCCGATTATGATTACCGTTGATCCACCTGAAGTCCAACCTTCACTTGGAGATATTGCTTTTATACAGGGAGTTTGCAATGGTAATGCTGGGTATAAACCTGGTATATAACATACAATATCATAAATTATTAATTAATGTAATATTTGTAGTCAGAGTTTTCATTTTTTATAAATTTATTTTCTGGCTCAAATTTGCAACAAAATTGACCAGCAAAAAATTTTAAAGTCGACAAGAAAATCATTATCATCCTTATCAATGTAATTTTTATATATTTAAACTGACTGAATGGCAATTACGCACAATGTTTTGGATAGCTTAACTGATAGAGCTTTTAACATGTAATCTAAAGAATCTGAGTTCGATTCCCGGTCAGGGTCGTCCTTATTATATAATTTCAGTTACCGAAAATATTCCTTCTTAAATGATCACATAATTTTCTTCACCCCCCCCCCTTTTATTTTTAAATCTTTAAAAAAAATTTTTTTAAAGCAACATCGAGAAAAATTGATTTTTAAACGAAAGCAGAGCACAGCTTCCGCGCGTTCGCGTTTGAGGCATGCAATAAAATAATCGATTTAAAGGAATTCTGTGCTGTAACGGATTATAAATTGGTTTTGTAAAAAAAAAATTTTTTTCTATTGAATAAATGATATGTTGACATTTTCGAATCCACAATTTATTTTTAAATTAAAATTTTTTACTATACGCCCTTTTAGTTTTGCGGAACTAGAAGGGCGTACGATGATTTTCAAGGGTAGCAAACACGCGGATTAAAATATTCTATTTATTTCGGTCTTCGTTATTTATTATTTATGACAATGTGCAAACAAAGGAAATTTTTGATACTGTTTTACGAAAAAATCGAATTTTTTGTTAAGGAGGTTCATCGGAAAATCACCTTTCTTACAATATCTTTCAATTTTTTATTACACATACTTTTAAGTGTCCTTTATACGCAGAAATTTTTGTTAATAGTCTTTACAGTACTAAATTTTGAAACATCAGCGATTACAACCCGTAGGTTTAACATGTATTCCCTATGCTGACTGACGTTAGAGTGATCATTTTATCGAATAACAACCATACTTTTCTCAGAACTATTTTATAAAAGTGAGAATAATTAATTAAAGACATAACAAGTATTTTTTATCAAAAATAACATAAACGAGCGCTATTCATTTTTTTATTAAAAATGTTTGTAGTTAGTGACTTTCGATATTTTACGTGAGTAAAAGTAAGTGAGCGATAGTCTGTAAAGAGAGGCAGCACTAGTGCGTGAGAAAGAAACCAATAGCCATAACCTATTGGCGTCTTTTTCTTGCCGATGAACGTCCTTAAATTCTTTCATTGATTTATTTTGTTTATTTTTTCGATATAGAATAATTTATTCTATTCGCAAGATAGAACAGAAGAAAGCCTCTTAATGATCCGTTAATTTGAGTGTTCCAAAGATTTGAAATAACCGTAATGGTGGTTAGTGGCAGTAATGACATCTGAAGATATAAACTCAATAACAATGAGACAGGTTTTTATTCCGAGTTTCAAGCCCGCGCGTGACTGTAAGGGAGTGGAACGGAAGACATCTTAAAGATAGCTTACACTTAGCATTCACGAACCAACCCGCGAAATTTTAGGAAGAGGTTGAGGGGCGGTCGACAATTCTACACCCCTGTGTTGGTATCGTGGTTTCTCAGACAAGAGACTAAATAAAAACGTTTGTTGATGCACAGGGCAACGAAATTTGAAAAAAAAAAAAAGCAAATTACTTTTTTTAATCTTGGAGAAAAAAAATTGTCGATTGTTAAAATATTTCTGTACACTGAAAAAAAAGTTTTTTCCTTCCTAGAAAACTTTTCCCTGTAGTTAAAAAAAAAGTATTCCTAAAATAAGAATACCAAAGTTTACTATCCATAGGAATAAGTTTACTGGATATAAAAAAACTTGGTATTCTCATTATTAAAATACTACAATCAATATGGCCGACTTAACCTCGCTTGGTCGACACGAATCTTTAGGATAGATAATTATGAGAAACTACATTTTTTGTAATTTTTCATTTATAAACAATCTATCACACTAAAATTAATAAAAATGAAAAATAGTATATTAAGCCTTTCTTTTCTTATTTTTAATTCTCATTGTTGTCAAAAAATTGCAATTTCCTGCTAATAGCATTATTTTACTAATTTACTAATAACAATAACAATAAATTTTTATATTTGATCAAGATTTTTAGATACTTTAGGGAAGCATCGCCATCTACTTCAGCTGAGAAAAAAATTTTCTCACCTTGAGAAAATTTTTCTGTTGAATATTTGATATTCATTTTATATTATTTTAGCGTGCAATTATACATATTAAATGAAGAAAAATAATTCAATGTTATTTGATCTTCCCATTTGACATGTTAATCAATAAAAATATTAATGAAAATTTACTTCTATCTTTATATTTAATTTTTTGGAGCAAGAGAGAAATTTTTTCAAGACAAGAAAATTTACTTCTATCAAGAACTAAATTTTTTGGAGCTTCGAGGCTGAATTTTCTTAAAACAACAAGATTTTTTTGACTTGAATAAATTTTCTTGGATCAA